ATGCTGGTCTGCGTTCGTTATGACCTGTACCATTATCTCTTTAATGTACGATGTGAGATGGAACAGACAGTCCGCAACCAGCCTCGCCATTTGTAGCGAATTTGCTTTTGCAACGAACTTTTGAAATGTGTCCGTCGTCATAGGCATCGCAACAGATTCTGCATCAGCACAAGGTGATTTGCTAGCGACGACACATGGGAAGTTGTGACGAACGTGGTGACAATTCAGTGTGGCAACATCGGTGCACGCCAGCATGGCATGCGGCGCAGGCGCGCAGTCCCCAACAGTGGTCCCAATTCCTGTGGAGGTTTGCATTGTTGTGTCGATTTCTTCACCTACCTTCGTCCTTTCACCTTCTGCACTTCCCATGACAACTTCATTCGCACAAGTCACCGTCATTTCTCCATCCAACAATCTACCTCGTGTGTGTTGCAGGGCATCAATGACGTCCGAGCAACCGTTCAACAGAGACGTCATATGACAAGGAAGGTCATCCTTACCAATCGCGACACCCTCATCACAGAGACCGTACTCGTCTACGGTTTCCTTAGAGTGGCGAATAAAGTCTGCTGCGAAGGCCAAGAGGTCGACGACACTACGTGACGAAGCAGTTAGCGAACCCGTATTATATTCTTGGTTGTCATACGATGCCCACCCCTCCTTCAGCACACACTTCTCAGGGCTACCACAAGATGCGACATCAAGTCCTTGTGATTCCCTGTGAGTTCTCTTTGTGACGTGGGCAACGAACCGATTCAAGAACGCGGTGCGCCTGCGTCTTTCACCATCCAACCATGTCTGGAACTCGTCAAACGTGGTGGTCTTAGTTTCAGCTATTGCCTTAAGTGTGACAGTCATGTCCTCCCTCAGACGACTTATGTCTAAACACTTTGGATCGTCTAGCAACAACCAGAAAACAGTGAACATCCTGTGTTCCACAGTTTTTGTCATTTCTACGAGCAGTGACTTAATACGGTCTAGTTCGTTTGACATCTGTCTCGCCAATTGTTTCTGCTTATGTATCTCGTGTGTTAGCCTGTCTATATGTTCTCGCTGTTTCTCTACTATCTGACCCCAGTTCCGGTCCATCTCAGTTGTCTTCTCTTCTTTCGCCCCCAGTAGTACAAAGTGATCTGCCGTTGCATCACACTCTTCGCCTGACTTTCTCTTCTGTCCGGTTTTGGCCAATCTTGACATCTGGAGATATATGTACATACAGAGAAATACAGATAGATAGATAGATAGATAGATAGATAGATAGATAGATAGATAGATAGATAGATAGATAGATAGATCGATAGATAGATAGATAGAGAGAGACAGACCCTCACTACTTCCATAGTTGTTGTCAGCGGGCGCCTACCAAAGATTGGCTATATGTACGTGGCAACATACATTGTTATTTATTACTGTACATCTACGTTTCCCCCATACATGACTCGATATAACAGTGGACAACACAACTTAACAAATACAAAGCAGACCATTCTTTCGAAACGCATCCGTTGGAATGAGGGAGTGAGAGAGATAGAGACGCAGGAAAGAAAGAATGGAGAGAGAGAGAGAGAGAGAGA